AAAAAAAAAGAACGAAAAGTCTCCCAATAGGGGGCTCGAACCCCTGACATTCAGATAACATACAGATCATACGAGTTCATTCTCGTAGACTTTCACGTATAAAAGTCTGACGCTCTACCGACTGAGCTAATCGGGATGGAGTTGTCTCGTCTAGCCAGGCAGGCTTGGCGTATGCAATATATACAGCAGAACTGCCGCTCGAATTCCGTGCGCAACCTCAGTCCTTCGTGCTTGCTTGACTCGCCGAATGGCATGCAGCTGCGAATGCGTGGGCTGTGTGGCGTTGCGTGACAGTGCACGAATGGCCGCCGGCTAGGCTGGAACGGGCGTGAGAGCTCGAGTGAAAGGGAGATTGGTGGTCGAGAGGCAGCGTGGACGGGTGCGGTGGTGACTTGGGCTCAAGAATGACAGACTGCTGATGGAGCTGCATTCGACACATTGATAGGACATCAATCAAGGCAGTAGCAAGATGCAACACAAGCATCGCAGTGAGACAGACAATACGCAAGGCAGAGGAAAGGAGACGACTCGAGACGGCCAATCAGCACGTTTGGAACCAGAAGAGTTGTTCAGAAGGAAGGGATATACATGAGGAAGCAGAGCTGTTCTACGTTGCAAAAGCCTAGACGATGCACAATCACGCCGTTGCGCTTGCTACAGGCATCGCAGCGGAAGAGATTGTGCACGCGCGCAGTCGGATTGCAGCCGACGAAACGGACCGCGGTCGGGGCGAATGAGGAGGAAAAGGCATATGATGGATGTCTAGGCCTTCTGCTGGAGCTGGAGATTCCTGTGGAGCTCGGTCTTTACGTCGACGACGCGATCGAGGAGCTTGGAGATGACCTGGTCGCGGTTGGCTTCAAAGGCCTTGTTGAGTTCGCCGAGCCTCTCTTCGGTCTCCTTGTCGACAGTGGTCTGGGACGAGTTGGTGGATCCCTCGTGCTGGCACCGCATTCAAACGCAAAATGCAAGACAAGAAAGGTCAATAGGAATCGCGGAAGTGGGGGATGGGAGGCATAACTCACCTGCTTTTGGAAGTCAGCAAACTCCTTCTCCTTGTTCGCCTTGAGCTGCTCGATCTCTTTGGAGGCCTCGTTGCGTGCGTCCTTGAGCTTCTGAGTGCGGTCTGCAGGAGGGCAAAGGGGACGCTTGAGTCAGGTCGGGACCAAGGGAACTCGACGAGTGCGAGATGAGAACTTACAAGTGCGGGCCTTCTGGACGATCTTGGCGGCCTCCTTCTCGGCCTCGAGGAGGGTCTGAATGCCCTGGGATTGTTGAGCGGCCTGTGATGCAACGAGACACATGAAAGCGGGAGCAGGTTGGGCGAAGAGTGACAAGTTGATGGAAAGTCAGACGTCAAAGTCGTGGCATTGCTGTGTAGTCGCTGGTTGGGCTGGAATCTCACCATAATGCAGAAGCGGGAGTGGTCGGATGCAGTCGAGACGGATGGCGATGCGATGCGAGGCGAGGCGAGGCAGTGGACGAGTGGACGAGTGGACGAGTGGGTGACGGTCGAAAGGAGTCGGGATAGGGCCGAGATGATTTGGTTGGGGCAGAGGAGAAGCACACGGGTGGAGGAGATGAGGCGAGGAAATGCAGTGAGCCAGGGGCGAGTGAGCGGGCTGAGCCGCACCGGCACTTGGCGCGTGCGACCGTGCGTTGCGATCCCCGATTCTGAGATTTGACATCCCCGATCCCAACTCGAGTGCTATCCAGTCGCTCAACTTTCCTTGGACCGATCTGGTGTTCCCACGGAGCATGAGCTTCTTTGCCAGCTTTTCATGATGGATCGGATGTCGGTGACGGTGCGCAAAGTCAAAGAGCAGCTGCCAAGCTGAAGTGTATGATGGAGAGGAGGCAGCGACGGCGATCTGAGCAAGCACGGCAGCGTCACACGACGGAGAGTGGGAATATTTTGGGCGAAAGGCCCACACAGACCACCGCACCCGCGTCCATTCGAGCGGAGCGCCGTCCAGGCCGAAAGAGAGAGAGAGAGAGGAGCAGCAGCAGCAGCGGCAACAAATTCCGAATCTCGTCGACCCAACACCGGATTCCCAACGGCCCGTCAACCGCTCAAGGTCGTCCTTCGTTGCCTCCATCATCTTCCTTCTCTACACCCTACCTCGCTTGCTGTCGCTTGCTGACCAACGCAGCACCAACACAGAGCACATCGCGCCCTCTCGCGCCTGTCTCGAGGCTGCTGGCACACTCATAGCTTCGGTGCTCCGGTCACCTCCACCACTCTGGACACCTTGGCCGCAATTGTACGAGCTCACCCTCTCCCGCATCGTCTATGCCATCGACCCGTCCTTCGATTCCCATACGACTCGCATGACTTCGGCACGTCCAACTGCCACAATCCGTATCCGCCCGTCAGTCCCAGGTGCCCGCTCCATCATCGCCTCCTGACGATCCAACCCAATCTCCCGAGCGCCATCGACGCGCGCACGCCTCAACGTACCATGGCTGCGCCGGCAAACACCGACGCGCTAGGCCTGCTCAGCGCAGCGCTTAACTCGCCCGACAAGCAGCAGGAGGCGCGCCATCTCTCCGAGCTCTACAACCTACTCAAGGCTCAGCCCGGCAACGTCCCCATCCTCCTCCCCTCCCTCATCTCGCTGCTTCCCAAGGCGAGCACATCGCTCCGAACATGGATCGCTCAGGTCATGGACCTCGCCTTCTGCAGGCCCTCGCTCTCCCAGGACACAAAGGCCACCCTCGCATCCCATGCACCGGACGCCATCCTCCTGCTCATCAAGGACCGCGATCCGCGTCTCACAAAGATCGCAGCGCAGTGCTTCGCAAGCATGTACCCTGTCCTCTTTCGCCTCGTCTGCAACGACCGTGCCAAGTCCTCGCTCTGGCAGACGGTCCAGGCCATCAAGTCCCAAGTCGTACACCTCTTCGATAACGGCAGCCTCGGCACAAAACTCGCCATCATCAAGTGCTACCAGCGCATCGTACAAGTCCAGTCCCGCGGCTCCACCGATCCAAGAGCACAGCTCAAAAACGACGTCAGCCTCAGCATCGTCCCTTCCGCCCACCCCTTGCTCAATGTCGCCGCGCTGGAAGAGGAGGCGAACCGCCTTTTCACCCAGGCCGTCACCCTCATCTTCACAAGCGACGTCGTCGACCTCATCATGGCTGCCGTCAACTCGCTCACCGTTCTCGCAAAGTCGCGCCCACAACTCGGCTCCGTCATCCTACGTGCCATGGCCACCTGGACGCCCGCCAGCCTCGGCAACCTCTCCCACACGCAGGTGCGCAACGTCGAAAAGACCGTCCGCATCTTCTACCTCCACTTTGTCCGCAACCAGCTCGCCGGTCCAGAGTCGAGCTCGCTCCAAAAGGCTCTCGAGACACAACAGCGTCGCATGGAAGAGGCCGCAAAGGCCTACCAGGCCGAGAGGGAGGCCGAGGCAAGGCGCAAGCGCGAACGCATCGACGAGGAGCTCGAAGCGCCAAAGAAGGTCAAGCTCGAACATCCACAACAGCCCGGCGCCTCGCCCTCTTCCGCCGCACACGACGGCGACCGCGCCGCCGGAGAGGCTTTCCGCAATGCATCCGTCCGCACCACTGGTGGTGTCGAGCGCAATCCGTTAGCAGCTTTCGATGTCAAGACGCTACCCATCACGCTCGTCATCGACCTCATCATCGCCAACTTGGAGGCGCTCTCCGAGCAAGATCTGCACGCCGCCATCACCAACATGCGCGCTAATCTCCCGCCAGACGCGTCGACCTCTGCGCAACCCGACGCCGCGCCACAACGCGCACCGGGCCCTGCCCCGGGACCGCCACCGCCACGCCCACCGACGACTACCGACCAGGCCCACCTCAACGGAGATGCAGCCACCCCACTTGTCAAGCTCGAGCAAGATCAAGAAGACACCGTGCAGGATCCGCTTCAGATGGACATGGCCGAGGAGGATCTCGACTTGTTAGAAGTCTCGGGTCGAGACAGAGCCAGAGCCGCGTCCGCCAACGGCCAAGACGACGACGAAGAAGAGCTATCCATGGCGGTCATCGAGAACTTTGCGCTTGCACCACCCGAGTATCTCTCGCTCGGCGAGTCGGATGCGCTCATCAAGGACACCGTCGCAAAGATCTGCGAGCTCGGCTCGTCCTCCTCAGCCCTCGCCGCTTCCTCGCCTTCGAGTACAGGCGCACACGCTCTCTGGTCCTCGCTCGTCATCCGTCTGGCCACTCGTGGCTTTGCCGAGCCGCCAGGCGCTTCGGATGAAGCGTCCGCCGGCACGGCGCCAGAGACCAAGGTGGTCGGCGGCGTCGCCCCCACCCGCACGCTCGCCACCCAGGCAGACATTGTCCGCGCGCTCATGCTCGAGTTTGTCAAGGCCGACGTGGCGCGCCGCACGCGCTTTGCGGTCAACTGGATGGCGGAAGAGTGGTTCTGCGACCGCGTGCGTCGCAAGCAAGCCGGTCCGGAACCGACCGTCAAGGACCAGTACCCGATCTGGCTCGAGAAGCTCGTGCATGCCTGGATCCCCACCATCGATGCCAAGGACCGCTCGCTCGCCAAGTTCCTAGCCGACCTGCCCGAGATCGCGCCTGCCGTGCTCGACCTCGTTGCCGAGCTCAGCAAGGACAAGGTCAAGATGATCGCCGGCATGTCGACGCTGCAGGACATCTGCATGTCCAGGCCTGCGCTGCGCGACCAGGCGGCCGACAAGCTGCTCCAGCTCACCCGGACGAGCGAGCGCACCACGAGGGCCAAGGCGATCATTGCGATCAAGCAGTGCGCCACCACCAACAGCGCGCTTGAGGCGACTATCCTCGCGTTTGCTCGCAGCAACCTCGACATCCTCATCGACACGCCGCAGCCGCCCGAAGCGGCGCCGGAAGCCAAGACCGAGGCGGACGCGGCGAACGGTGACGAGCCTGGTACCGCGCAGGCCAACGGAAGCGTTAAAACCGAAGAGGGTGCAGATGCAGCGGAACACGATGGCGAGACGGTGACGGAGGAGTCGACGCATCCCAGGGACGGCGAGGACGTGCTGCGGTTTGTGGAGCTGCCGTTTTCGCTGTGCACCAAGATCCCCGAGATGCTCGACGAGATCTTTGCGGCGTATCCGCGCACGCCCAAGTTTGTGCAGGCGGCGATTGAGGAGCACATTGTGAACCTCATCCGCGCGTTGGGCCCCAACCATCCGCGTCTTCTTACTTTGCTGCGCAACTTTCCCGAGGGTGCGGATTCGCTCGCGCTGTGTATTCTCAAGACGCTTACGGAGAAGAATCGGGCGCCAGCGTTGGTGGAGGTGGTGAAGGAGTTGGTGGATACGCGCGATGTGGATCCGCGCTTCCTGGTTCCTGTCATGGCGGATCTGGACAAGGCCGAGATCATGAAGCGTCTTCCCAAGGTGGTCACCATCCTGGCCTCTCGGGCCCCCGAGGACCGGGCGCTGATCAAGTCGGTGTTTCAGAGCATTGTTCAGATGCCACCGCAAGGATTTGGCTCCGTATCGAGCAACCTGCCTCGCGTGCGGCAGACGGAGTTGCTTACGCCCGTGGAGCTTATGGGGCTCTTGCATCGAGCCGAGCGCGAAATCGGGCTCAAAAACACCGTGGCGGCGATCCAGATCTGCTTTGGCATGACGGACGTCTACCGCTCCGAGGTGCTCGCCGCTGTGCTCAACCAGATCTCCGAGGACCAGAATTTGCCCATGCTGTTCATGCGTACGGTGATTATGGCCGTCTCGACGTACAAGTCGCTCTCGGGCTATGTGGCACGCAATCTGCTGTCACGCTTGATCACCAAGAAGATCTGGCAAAACCCACCGTTGTGGGACGGATTCATCCTGTGTGCCAAGCAGACCGCACCGAGCTCGTTTGGCGCTTTGATCCAGCTGCCCAGGGACCAGCTCAGGGAGGTCGTTAGTAGACAACCCGACCTCAGGACGGGATTGGTCGAGTATCTGACCGCCAAGGCGGGGGGTAACCGCGCGAGGTTGGCCACGTTTATGGACTTGCTTGGTCCGGATCCTGATGATCCAGCCGCTGCCACAGATGCGGCTACAGGATAGTGCAGAATGCATTGATTTATCCTTCTCACACCGGCTGTTCTCGGTGAGAGTCGGCGGACTGGCGAGGCTTGATTGCGAGTGGTGCTGCGAGTGGTGTGGACGGCGTGCGATCTGGTAGAAGCCGTGCGAGCGTGCATTCGCTACAGAAGGCGGTGGCACACTGGGCAGATGCAGTCGAGAATGCCAAAGTGCGCACGCTGGAAGTTTCATGCTAGGCTTGAGACACTGCAAGAGCAGCCAAGGGACCGGCGCCGCAAGACTTGAAGCCGCGTCGCGACCCAGCTCGTCCGTCACCACCAAAGCAAAGCCGCATCACCTCCAAGGTACGCGCCTGTGCGCACTTGCCTCCCGTCCCTACTCCGCGCTCCTCAACGCCTGCATGCCACACTCAAGCCAAATCATCAAGACAATCCAGATTCACACGCAACCACGCTCCGATCTTGCCCTGTATCTTCACACACAGCTCTATTCACCCGCCAAGATCCGGCCTCACTCACAAACATCCATGTCCAGCTCAGATCCATCTCCCACCGCAAATGTACTCACTTTACACATGTCTTCCTTTTTTACACAGACCATCGCACCACACAATAGCACACGAAATAGAGACCTTGACATAGAAAGATGCATTCCAAACCGCTGAGCACACTGACTTGATCGCAAATCAAGGGTTGTAGGGCCTGAAGGCCGAGGGCGCAGGCATGAAACCCTCGGTGGGGGCGGTGAGGTACGAGGCGAAGTTACCATCGGCCGTGTTGTACGGCGCAACGTTGCCCCACCAGCCGTCCGAGGCAAAGTCGCTCTGCTTGCCCTTGGGGAAGATGAGGCAGAAGAAGATGAGGACGGCCGAGATGGCAGTACCCGTGTCCAGGGCGGCACCCAGGACGTAGTTGTAGCGCGTCCACCAGCCGGTGCGGTACTTCTTGACGAGGTAGTTGAACACGAAACCGCACATGGCCCAGGCGGTGAAGTTGATACCCGTCGCAGGAGGCATGAGACCCGTGCCGGTGAAGATGACGGGCGAGTTGACCTTGCGCATGAACGAGCGGGGGAACTTCTTGGTGAGGCCCCACACGATAACGGGGAAGATGGCGCCGACCAGGAACATCCACAACAGCTTGCCGTACTGCTTGCCGGGCGAGAAGACGGCGGCGGGACCAATGAGACCCCAGATCTGCGAGGCGGTACCAAAGACGATGAGGTAGTTGCAAGTGAAGTTGTCCGAAGCTTCGGGCGTGCAGACGTTCTCGATGTTGGAGAACACCCACGACTGCACACCAAGCACGACAAACGACGAGACAACAATGGCGGTGACCTGGGCCACAAACATGTCCTTGGGCGGCACCTTCATGTAGTGGCCGAGCTTCATGTCGGCGGTGAACGAGAGACCCTGGTAGACGGCCATGTAGCAGAACACCTTGAACATCATCATGCCCGTAGCCGAGCCAGGGTGCATGTAGCCGATGATGAACTCCGAAATGACGTTGAGGCCGACCTCGACGTTGGAGATGGCATACACGACACCGACGGGCAGCATGAAGAAGGCGCCAATGATGAGCGAGATGATGAAGGCCCACACGGGGAAGTCGGTGTTGTAGCCGGCGGTGCAGCCGACACCCATGCCGAAGCAGATGAGGAAGAGGGCGGCGTACCAGAGCTTGGGCACCTCGGGATACTTCTGCATGAGACGCGCGTGGACGTCACGCTCGTCGTTGATCGAGGTGGTGAACTGGCGGTAGATCTGCTTGCCGTGGAAGAGGGCAACGTGGACGATGATGGCGGTGATCGAGGCGAACGAGAGCGCGAATGAGATGGCGTACGTGACCGAGAAGTACTGCTCCGAGTAGGCATTGTAGCCGGCGGGGTCAAAGTGGAGGTGGTCCGGGGTGGTGACCTTGGCGGTCTTGAACTTCTTGCCGAAGCGGTCGTAGACACCCGAGGTGGAGAAGGGGAGGTAGGCGAAGTTCCAGACGTTCTTGTAGTAGAGGATGGGGCCGATGATGCAGTAGCACACGACGAAACCGCCGAGCACGTTGGCCTGAGCCCACCAGGGGGTGTAGATGGGGTTGCCGTTGTACGAGTACTGGTTCCAGTCGGTGGTGAGCGGGATGAGGCCGAGACCCTGCTGAGTGCCGAGCATCTGGTTGAGCGGCACGTTGTCTGGGGCGATGAGGCAGAACCAGTTACCGACAGACATGAGCGCAAAGAGGTAGCCGGGCACAAAGTACCAGGCAGAGGCACCTGCGCAGGCGATCATGAAGAACTTGTACCTCGACATGTGGTTGGAGCCGGTGTCGACCTGACGGTGGAGGGCGGTGAAGAGCGCCGTGTTACCCAGGTTGGCAGGCCAGATCATGGCGGCGGGCCAGACGAGCCAGCGGCGGAAGAAACCGGCCATGGAGAAGCCGATGAGCTGGGAGCTGAGCGTGAGGAGGATGATGTAGCCGAAACCCCAGTCGAAGCCGTAAGTGATGCGCTGGACAGCGGAGACGTTGGATGCGTAGGCTCGCTGGTAAGTCACGTTGGACATGACGGTGATGACGGTGTGTTCCTTGACGTTGAAGGGGCCGGGGTTGAGGGTGAAGCTGCCGAGGGGAGTCTTGAAGACCTTGGTGGGGAGGACCTTGGCCATGAAGACGCCCATGGGGTATGCGAGCAGCTGTGCGACGAACGAGGTGATGGTGACGGTGGGGTATCGGTAGCTGAGAAGCTGGTTAACACCGGGGATGACGATGGTAAAGAGCATGCCGAGGACCCAGGTTCGGAAGGTCATGACGGGCATGGTGGGGTCGTCGACGTTGGAGACGGCGGCGCGGACCTCGGGGTAGGGCGAGTCCTCCTCGAGCTCCTCCTCGATCTGAGCCTCTGCCTTGTAGTCGCCCTGCTCGATGACGCGCTCGATGGCGTCGATCTTCTCGGTCTCCATGTTGGGGTCGTTGAGGCGGTGGTCGATGAAGTCGGTGCGGAGGTGCTTCTCGACGTTGGTGATCTCGGGCACGGAGGTGTTGGCGAGGTCCTCTTTGGAGGAGTCCTTGTGGTCGGAGCTGCCATGGCTCGACGTCCTGGCGATGCCGATCTCGTTGACCATCTTGAGTATCACTAGCCCGGAGGACGCTCACGGGGGCGGATAAAGGGAAAGAAGAGGGAGGAGGGGGATGGCTGGGGGGAAGAAAGGGACGAGCGCTCGTCGAAGTTGAGGCTTATATGGGAATGTGGCGACGAGGGAGAAGGAAGGCGGCGGCGATGCGATGCGATGCGGCGCGATAGGGCACGAAGCTCAACACCGGAAGAGGATGAGCCGACAAGGTGAGTGGGGGCGTGGCCGAGAGAGCGGGTCGAGCCGATGTTCCTGACGCTTGAAGTGGTGGGGTGGGAAGCCAGAGCCAAAGCCACGGTGGCGAGTCGCTTTCGAGGCGGAAGACGGCCGAAGCGAAGCTCGAAGTCGTGCGTAGGGCTCGCCAGAGATTACAGCCGACGTTCTGATTTGATAGAGTGAGAGTGTGTGTGGGGCAGCCCGGACGAGATGAGGTTCGGACAGGGTCGAGCCGAAGCATGACTTGGACTTGTCCAGCTTGGCCAAAAGTGCAGAGGAGATTGAATTTCCTGCGGGCCTAGTCTGGTTTCAACGCGACTGCAAAATGTGACTGTCAGACGACCGTCGCGACAGGTCCGACAAGCGAGTTGCGCCGACTACACTGGGGAGAAGCCTGCAAAAGATAAAGCGGCCTAAGCGAGAAACAATGCAGCTGTGCGCAGGTCCGCCAGGAGGCGGCACCTCGTCTGTAGTGTCGGACGAACCGACGGGTCGAGACGCACCGCAACCTCTGCCGCGTTGCGGCTAGTCGGACTGTGCCGCGGTCTGCACGGCATCAGCGGTAGTGGCCTCTCTTGGAAACTCCGACGATTTTCAACGTGCTGCTGCTGCTGCTGCTGCGTCGGCCCCCCCCCCCCCCA